CAATCTCAAATTTAAATTTTTAATCATATTCATATTTCAGAAAACTTATCTCCTAAAAATAAAAGGTGTCTCTGACGACGTTGACGTTGTAGTCAAACATTTGTTCACAGACAAATTGTTATCTAGTTTCAACTTGGAAGGTAAGTGGCAAAAGCGTGCCCTGGCGGAGCTGACTTTGGTTGACGTTATTAAAGATTTCTGCATTTTCTTAAATTTCTCCTTTTTCCTTTACAGATATTTACAAAACGCTTGGCGTTGCCGGCTTTGAATGAAACGTGAGAAAATAGGTTGGACTCAGTCACAAAAACAAAAAAAAGGCTGTTTTCTTATAGTCTTATTATTCCTTTTTCTTATTGTTTCTGTTTTTATATAAGCTTTGTTTCATTTAACGTTTTAAAATGAATTTTTATTTTTAATTTTTAAATTTAATATACACTTGACAGCAAAAGTCTGCATACACCATTACTTTTTTATATTTCACAATATTTGATGAGCTAAAATTTGTTTGTTACTTTTTTTATAAAAATATAGATCATGCTGAAAACAAAATCATATAAACCAAGGTTCAAATTTTATACAAATTATGATAAGAAAAATTCAACGATTTTACATCAAAATTTGCATTTATTTAATCAATTTCCAACTACGCAGTGTTATGGCCTTTGTTTGTTTTTGTTTGTTGGAAAACAACGCGTGCAGAAAACAACACGCAGACTACATACTACATGAAGTTGCTATGAAATCTGATTAAAAAGTTGAAAACTTTGATTGAAATTCGTTGAATTTTCCTTAGTTTTGTACAAAATTTGAAACCTTGGTTTATATGGCATTTTTTTTAACGATAATCCATACTTTAAAAAAAAACTAAAGAAAAATTAGTTTGCAAAATATTGTGAAATTTAAAAAAGTAATGGTGTATGCACACTTTTGCTGTTAAGTATATCTACATACATATATCTTAGCTTAATATGGTATAAGAATCTACATACCCTTGTGTTCAAATTTGTAAAAAAAAATAAAAAAATAATTTGTAATATTTATTACAAAACTCCAAAATTTCATTTCTTGTATGTCAGTTATGTGTAACTAATGTGTGCGTTATGACTAACTAGTTCCACATAATATGTTTTCACGTTATGCCTAACTCGTTTTACATAACATTTTCCTTCGTTAGGCTTCAATAGCTACAAATAACGTTTCCTTACGTTAGGCTTAACTAGTCACACATAACATGCTTTCACGTTATGCCAAACTCATTACACATAACATCTCCATTCGTTACGCTTAACTAGTTATACATTACATGTTTCTTCAACATTTATAATGGGAGTAAAGAGCACAGGTATACGCTGCATATAATCTGGTTATACCTGCGTTAGAAAGAGACGAGAAATCGCAGGTAGAGGAAACATCCTGTTAGATTTTTCTTATCGCCCTTAGGAAATTAAGGTAAACATTCTATGGGAGTATGCAATGCATTTACGTTACAACTCTGCATTACACGATTCGTTATATAACGCGTATTGTTCTTGCAGGGATAACGTTTCTGCTCTCGTGTTGATTTCCTTGTTCTATCTCTAGCGCGAGCTCAGTAGCGGTGTCAAAAGAGTTGGGCAGTGCTGCAAATACAGTTTGTTTGAGTTTGTCATTTAGTCAATTTTTAAGTATTGTTAGACTGTATTGCTCATTTAGTTTAGTAACTAAAGATTTTTGCTCAGTTGTTGCATTTGTACCTAGCTGTCCTATTTGCAATGTGTTCAATTCAGATATTAGATGTAAAATTTTGTTTTTGAAGTTAGTGACACTTAAATTTCGTTGTGTAAGATTGGCAGGTTGGTTTTGTATATGTGGGATAGTTGTTGCGTGTTTGTTGGTTGGTTGCAGTGCTTCCTAGTCGCTACCCAGGACACAATTAGCGCATTATTGCGCCATTTTGATGCACATCTCGCGGGGGATAAATATTTTGTCTATGCACTTCCTATGTTGCTAGTAGAGCTCTAGATACCCGGGTATCGAGCAATGCGGGTAGCTCGATACTCGCTCGAAACTCGTTCATTGCTCAACTGCTCAAATGTTTGTTCAAAATTTTCGAGTTTTTGAACAATTTCATAAACAAAAGAAAATTTGTAAATTTTATTTGTCAGCAGCTGCTTTCTAATTCATGTTAAATAAATTATATTATTAAATACCAATGTAAAAATCTTTGCAGTATATATCAATAATTTGAAAAATTTAAAAAGTTCCTACCAAAAATGTCAATATCATAAAAAAACATTGCTCAAATTACTCGAAGCCCCCGCCTGGGATTCATCCAAACCGGCTCCTGCCTTCGCCAACTCATCCGCCTTGTCATTGCCTTATATTTTCCTATGTCCCGGAAACCAGGCAAGAGAGACGGTATTTGACATAGACACTGAACGCAATATTACTTTGCATTCCCCAACTAGCTTAGATTTGGTAACCGGTGACGCTATTGCCAATAGCGCCACCTGGCTGTCAGAATATATTGTTGCTTTACTCCTGTGTCTAACTCTATTGCCTAGGATTTTGCAGGCTTCTAGGATCCCTAGGACTTCCGCTTGGAAGATGCTTGTATTATTTCCCAACCGTAGAGACAGAGCCACGCCGAGTTCCTTGGAGTAGACTACTGCTCCCACACCGCAATCCATCTTGGATCTGTCTCATCTCCAGTCCCTTCTGGATGGGAATAGCACTTGCACGTTACGTGAAGTCCAAATTGCCTACCATATAATCTGTCGTCCTATTTAATTGCATTTGATTTATGATCAACCCATGTCCGAAGTGTGTAGTCCTCCAAAGGCCTGACTCTCTGAGTCTGACTGCCGATTTCATAGCCACTTATTTCAGATGGAGATCAATAAGAATTAAATTGAAGATGGCGTTTAGAGCTTCTGCCGGGCAGGATCTTAGTGCTCCTATTACTCCTGCGCTTGCTGCCCTTTGTATGCTTCTTAGTTTGCTGACATTATATAGTGTGCTTAGGCCGGGCCACCAAACGAAGGCGCCGTATGTTAGAATTGGTCTTTTGATTGCGGTATACATCCACATGACAAGTTTAGGATTTAGTCCCCGGTTTCTACTGAAGATTCTCTTGCAAGTGTAGTATGCTATGTAGGCCTTCTGTCTACGGAATTCGACATTAGTTTTCCAGTTAAGTTTGTTATCCAGTACGACTCCAAGATACTTTGTGCTGGGGTACAATGAGAGTGCCTTGCCGTCTAGCGACGGTAGCTTGAATTGTGGTGTTTTGTGTCTGTTTGTAGATAGGATAATTTCTGTCTTGGCCGGATTCACATTTAGGCCGCTTCTCGCAGCCCAAGCGTGTAGCCTTCCCAAGATTTCTTCAATAGTTTCGCTAACGCTGCTATTACAACATCATCCGCATACGCCACAACTTTGATTCCCCCTCTATTGAGTTCTAGCAATATACCGTTCAGGGCTATCACCCATAGCAGTGGAGAGAGCTCTCCCCCCTGTGCAGTTCCCCTGCTCACATGATGTATAATAGAGTTAGCCCCATTTGTTGCCTGAATGATTCTATTGACTAGCATCGATCGTATCCATCTACAAGCACTGTCGTCAACACCAATATATATCAAAGAGTTAATGATGGTGTCAACCTCAATGTTATTAAATGCGCCCTCGATGTCAAGAAATGCCGCCAGAGTATATTGTTTAAAGTGCAACGATTTTTCTAATAAGCTCACCACTTCATGTAAAGTAGATTCAGTGGATCTGCCTTTGATGTATGCATGTTGTGCTGTTGAGAGTGTCGCTTCACCTAGCAACGATCTTATATAAATGTCGAGAAACCTTTCCATTGTTTTAAGCACAAAGGAGATAAGGCTAAGGGTTCTAAAATCTTTTGCTGTTTCGTGGTTTTTCCTTCCTGGCTTGGGTATGAACACGACTTTTACCCTTCTCTAGCTTTTAGGAATGTAGCACAAGCCCATAGTAGCCTTAAAAATAGTCTCAAGTAATGGTGCTATCTCTTACTTCACCCTCTGGAGCATTGCTGGGATTACGCCATCTGGTCCAGGGGATTTGAAGGGAGAGAAGCTGTTGATAGCGTAAATAATCTTTTCCTTGCTCACGATCGAGTTCAACAGTATACTGCTAGTTGAACCAGGTTCAATTGACCCTGACGTGGGTGGATGTCGAATACATTCGGGGAAATGGAACTTGACTAACGTGTTTAGAGAATCACTAGCTGTATTCGTCCACACCCCGTTTTCTCCCTTAATTACTGTGATATTTGTGTGCTCTTTTGATAGGATTTTGCGGAGCCTGGCTGAGTCTTTAGAGTTATCTATAGAAGAGCAGTAAAATTGCCAGGATTTAGTTTTAGATTTTCTCAATTCCTTTTGTATAAGATCTTAGGGCGCTTTTATAAGGCGCCCATTTTTTAGTTCTAAAGCAATCATTGTAGATTTTCCTTATTTTGTCTCTTTGGGCTCTGAGATCCCCATTCCACCAGAGTGGGGATTTCTTTCTTGCTGTACTAATCGGAGTTGATCTTTCAAAGGCTTTCTTCATAACCTCTTCTAGATTATTTACTCTATTATTGGGGTCCTCAACAGTAGTGACAGTTGTATTTAGTGGGAGCTTACTTAGTTTATGCTTAAGTGTGTTACTATATCTTTCCCAATTAGTCCTGTGGGGGTTTCTGCATTTCGAGGGGGTGTTGGAAATTATGTGCAGATTAAAGGGGATCAGACGGTGATCAGACATTCAAGGCCTAACAGATACTCTCCACTCTTCTACAGACACGCTGTCGTTCTCTGACAACAGGGTTAGATACTGCACCTCCTCCCATTCGGACAACCGGTTTGAACTCGGGAATATGAATGTGGGTGGATTACCTCTATTGCAGATGCTAAAGTTAGTATGTAATAAGAAGTGTAGTAAAGAGTCACCTCGATCGTTCTCCGTAGAACTACTCCATACTGGATGCCTTGCATTCGCCTCGCAGCCGACGACTATAATTTATCTGATTCTGATGTGCTGAAATTAGAGCCAAGGAATGCATTTATACCGTTCTTGATAAGAAGCCGATAGTCAGCCTTCTCTAAGGCGTCTAGTGATTCTGCGCAAATAGCTAGCAGAATGTTCTTATTTGTAGGCCTTCTTCGCTCTTCAACCCTTATAAGCTCCCATTCCTCGATCGCCGGTATGTCTTTATTATGTAGCTTAAGACACCGCAGCAACTTTTCGCCTGGTTCATCCATCGGAGGCAGCCAAATGCGCGCACGTGGTCTCCTTGGAATGTCCTTAGCTGAGATCAGCTTGAGCTTCAAGCCGACAAAAAAGTCGCTGATCTTAGCGACGCATCCAGCAAGGAAATCCAGGGAAAACTGGTCCGCGCACTTGACTACCCGGTATCCCCGTAGGGATTCCGACGAGTCGAACTCTGGGTAAGGACCTTCGGGGTTGTCGAGTACGTAGTTCATTACGAGGCTCGACAGCCTCACATCAATCTCCACCCATTTCTGCTGTACTGCCAGCGGTGTCTTGCTATTTTCATCTACTATCGCCGCCTGTAGGTGGTCTCTGGCGACGTCACTAAAATAGCGATGCTTCGCGGTTGCTGCAGACTCCGCATCACCTCCTTGCTTAGCCTTCTTTGTAATGGCCCCTTGGCCGCCTTCATTATAAGGGCGGTTCCGTTTCTTTGTTTCGGTGGCCTCGAGTGTGGATGCACGATCTGTCTGTAACTTTTCGTACTCTTAGACTATTTGCATGTATTTTGCATTGTCTTCCTCGTCAAGCTCATGTACCGCACCGGCCGCTGCATTTTTGTCAATTTTATCTAACATATCCAGCGCCTTCTGGTACATCTGTCTCATGACCACGCAGGAGGGTTTTCTTTGCTGCTTTGCGGAATTGCTGCCTGCAACGGCCGCCGATTTTCTGGTTGTTGGTTGTTCGTCCGGAGACCTACGGCAGGCACTACCGCTGCTATTTTTGACTATTTGCAGAGTGGTGATACTTTGTCTGGCATCTTCCACCCTGCCGTTTTCTGGCGCTTGTTCAACTGGGGTACTATGGCTGGCGCCACCAAGAGTACTTGCAACCATCTTACCTGTCTTCGGGGATTTGAGGGGCTGCTCCTCCTCTGACAGAGTTACGTCGTCCCCTTGTTCGCTGGTATGCTGTTCATGTTGCTGTTGTTGGTTTGTTTGTTGTTGCTGTTGTTGGTTTTTTTTGCTTTGGTTTTCCATATGTGGTCCCATGAGTAGTCCTTACAACCGACCTTGCCCGGGCATCGGAGGGGACCGTACGCGACCAGCCATTTTTTACTACCCGCTGGCCATTCATCCATCGACACGGTTGCCTACACACCTTGGCTTGGGTAGTGTTGGTACGGTAATCCTGCCATTTCCACCTTCAGCAAAACAACAACACTCCAGCTTGGATTGTTAAGGAATATTGCCGAAGGCTTCAATACCAGGCTTCCCTCTTAGTTCATGGAGGCATGATACAATTCACACTGTGAAATATACCATGACACCATTTAAGCTGAGGAGGCTGTGTGTTTGTATTTGTTTTTTAATAATCTTTCAGTTCTTGGAATGTTTGGGTAGTTTGTATTGTAGTCACGTTTGTTTTCACCGCTTGGCTTAGTTTTACGTAAACTACAAAATCTATTAGTGCACTTTTGCCATCTTCAGATAAGTCATTATATATGATTACAGTTACTTTTAAAAAGGCTTCCAATTCCCTGTAGTTTCCGGAAAAACTCGGAATAGCTTTTGAGACCAATTGCAAATTAAAATCGGACATTGTTTTTATGCTTTGAGTTGACTCTGAGCTTAAAATTTCTGTTGGGGTTTGTATTTCTGTTGTGATTGAATGAGGGATTAGTATATCAAAATCGTATTTTGATACAATTTTAAGCAGTTTGTCTCTGAGTTGCCAGAATATATCTAAGCCAATTGAGTGCATGAGTGCATGAGACGTTGAGTGCATGAAAAGAAGGTAGTTTCATTGTCACCATATTAACTACCTGAGAACTAAGCAGATTGTGACATTTCGTGCTACCTAGTCCTCAATAATCATTTATTTATTGTAAAAAAAAAAACATTTTCAAAATTAAAAGGAAATTTGTCTTCGATATGCGCAATAACGCAAATTGAAATTCATGATATGATACATATTATAGTTACGGACGATGGGAGGTACTCCCGATTGAACTGGCACTCAGAGTCTGGAAGTAAGTAGTGCGTTAAGTGCAGCTTGGTCGTCATGTAAACTCCTTCCGCTCCAACTATTTTCCACCACGTAGTCCATATCCTTGAGGTTTGCAAATACCTCAGCCTGGCAGACCGAAGCATACTTGCCAAGAGAAATGTTAATCTTGTCCCCATTAACTCCGAAAAAGACCTCAGATCCTGACCCAGAGTCAGGTTTGGAGCCATAAGTGAATATTCGATAATGTGTGAGTCCGGGCTCAGTGCTGGTATTAAACCAGCATTCGGCCTCAGGGAACTCAACATTATAGAATCTCTTCAACAAAGGTAAAGGTGGCGTACTATCCTGTGGCATTGAAAAGACACAAGTGCTCAGATCTCTGCCGCTAGCAATTTCCGCCTGGCCCCACTCAGTGTTATACCAGCATCCATTTCTTTTTAGTGTGCAGGTGGTCTTTAAGGCTTCCCTACGTATGAAGACACAAAGTGGCGGTAAGTGCAGTAGCGCATCAAGAGAAACGCCACGTGTTGTAGAGAAATCTTTCGTACCGCACACGGAGGTAGTTCTTTGAAGTTTTGCAAGCAGACTTTCCACGCTCCTGGTTAAGAATCTGCTCCACCATACCACTGACCATAGCTAATTATGGGTCTGATCATAGAGGTATAAATCCAGAGGATTCCCTATGGTGACACACCCCATGTTTTACCAAAGACCAGTTTACATTGCCAAAATGCTGTCCATTCTTTAGAGGTTTTGTGTTCCTCGTTAGATTTCCACGATAGTTTTGTATCCAGAGTTACTTATAGATACTTCACTCCCGCATAATTCTGAATTGTGACTCCTTTCATTGTGAGGGCAATGAGCCCATTCAACCTTCTCCGAATCCTGGTTTCGGACTATGCTTTAATGACGAAATATCTAACAATACATCTTCTTCGGACTATTTAACAAAAAAAAGAGTTTTGTTATGTAAATTTATTTATTTTGTTTAAAATAAAATGAAAAACAGCTTTTTAATAAATAAATGTTTCAAAACTAGATTTTATTTTATTTCTTCATTTCTGCACATCGATATTATTCAAAAGATCTTTTAAACGCTTGAGAAAAACGTTCAAATTTGATTATCGAGCACATCAACTTACTATTGTTTGTATGTAAATTTTACTCCCAAATATTTAAAAGATAATCTCCCCTATCAAAAAATTTCAATGCGGCAAAGCTGTGCTTAATGTTTACATCTGGAGATATGTCAAACATCTGCTTTATAATAAAAAAAATAGTAGTAATGAAACTACCTTCTTTTTTGTATCATGGTTGAGTGTACCTCTGAAATTGTCTAAAGTTGTAAATAAGATAAATAGGTGCTCTCTTACAGTTTCCTCTTTTATTTTAGTAATCTTATATATGTGGAATACTTCCTTAAATGATGTGAATTTTTCTTTTAACTTAATCCATTGGTCCATAGTCTACCCTTCTTAATACAGTGAAACCCGCTTAAGTACCCCCCGCATAAGTACCTAACCCGCTTAAATAACCAACATTTTTGTGCACCGTGAATTTTTTTAATGTAATCTGAAGAAAATCCCTCTCTAAAGTACCTCCCCGCTTATTTACCCAACCCGCCTAAGTACCTGAAATTTTCGTACCCCATTTACCATTTTACTTATAGTTTTCCCCTTTTAAGTGCTCTTTTAACATTCTTTAAAATATTTACATATTCTGAAATTCAGTGGCAGCACTACACACCTTCGGCAAAAAATGTCAAAAAAAGCAAAGGTAATTTTTAGCCATGAAACTTGCACATTATTACACTAAAATTTAATGGGCAATAAAAATGAGAAAAAGTTTGAAGTTTCGATGATTTTTTTTAGTGTTTTTCAAAATCTTAAGCTTAGGTTTATATGGTATTTGTTAGGGAATTATCTGTATTTTAATTGAAAAATCTTCGAAACTAATAAATAAAGAAGCGGCAAACAATATTATTCTGAATTTGGTCCAAAATGGTATGTCCAACACTGTTTGTATGTCTGTATAAATAATGCTACGATCTTGGTTCATGGTAAATGTTCATGTTTTAATCAAGGATTTATATATTTATGCAAGTTAACAAGAAGAAGTTTGGCCGAGCTTCTCCTCCGATTTGTGGCGTGCGCATTGATTTTGTCACACAAAGCGGAGGGATCTACAGTTTTACGCCGACTTCGAACGGCGATTGTATTTTTATGAGAAGCTGTTTTTCATGGCAGAAGTACACTCGGAGGTTTGCTATTGCCTGCCGAAGGGCGACCGCTGTTAAGAAAAACCTTTTTTAAAAATTTTTTTGCGGTGGTGCTTTGACCAGGGCTTGAACCCAGGTGCTGCGGAGTGGAAGCGCGCACTGCTTACCACTACACCACAGGGACCGCCAAACACTAACATATGTGTAAGCGCCAATCTATTATTATTATTATATTATTATTAACAAGAAGAAGTAACTACTTTAATAATTATGTTCGTTTAAGTACCCGAATCGAGGTACTAAAGCGGGTTATTTTAAGTACCCAACCCGCTTAAGTACCTCAAAAAGCTGACATTTTTCGTGAGGTACTTAAGCGGGTTTTACTGTATTATATTTTGTATTACATCAATATAGCCTTGCTATATATTACTAACATGAATGCAATAAATTCTATGTATTGTATTTATATATTGGTTTAAACTTAATTTAGAATTGCACCCAATTTGCATGTGTTGTATTCTGATGCTGTTCTGCCTGTCCTTAGCCGCGTTTATATGCGTTGTGCTTCAATTCTCATCCGACGTAGTCGTCTCTTCAAATACTTTTCTAATACCGTGAACATGGCCACAAGTACTAGGATTATAAAAAGTGCTATGAAGCCGACTGCATAGAATTCAGAGTCTTTATTGTCATTGATTTCGGGTTTGTGCACCTTTGGTGGCTCGTACCTTACTACCGTTTTGTCTATTTGCACACCCTCACCGACTTCGTAGCCCGTGATGGCTATCATGATGGTGCAACAATGTGAAAAATGAATACGTATTTGGCAGGATCGCCATGTGGAGGTCCTATATTCTATCGTTGTTATTAATAGCCTTCTTCTTTGTTAAGCAGAGAAGGTTCTGCCGTTCGATAGGCAGCCGTGAGGCCGCCGAAAACTTTATCTAGGCAACTTTGCAGTTGCCAAATTTGGAGAAATGATGAAGTCAAAGCATGTCATTCATAATCTAATTTTATTGTTCAAACTTAATGCTATTTATACACAAATTATTTCCTAAGCCACTTTCATAGCTCCGCCTCTCTTCCAGTGCTTTGTGATTCAGCATTCCAAATTTGCAAAGCAACCAATCAAAACGCAGTGCATAACGTGCCGCCCAAATATTCTGCTTGTACAGTGGCGGCGTCGCTCAATGCAGCGAGCAATGCACAAGGCTGCTTTGCTTACAATGTTGAATTGCTTAATCAGCGATAATGGAATGTGTGTCAACGGGTAATGCTTATGTTGCATTTTGCCGTCACTCACTACACACATAATTATTATGAAAATACGTAAATAATTGTCGTCTTGAAGTAAACGTCCCGAGAGACTAGATATGCAAAAATCCCATATAATTATATTCAACAATTTTTATTGAGTTTGAGGCCGTTTTTGATGAAAAACTATTGTGGAAAAGCAACAATAATTTTGAAAACTGGTAGAAGTGATAGCTATTTCGGAAATCACCACATTTCCTCATCAGACTTCTTTCAGTGGGACTCGATCCAACGACCCCAGCCGACTCAGTCAGTTGCCTATGTACCGTTCGAAGTTCGCCTTGTAAATTATTGTTTATTTTTTCCACTTTTTCATTTGTGAAGCCAACTAAAATCAAGCGCAGGTATTCCAGT